CATTCATATGCACCTTACTAACAACATATGAATAATCCTACAAAAGCGAAAAAGTTATTCTTTTAAGAACACTAACACAAAAAAGGTTTTATATCATATTTGTATAAGTTCTCTTTGTTCAATTTTGTTAAATAAAAAGCATAATAAAATACACTTGTGCATCCAATGAAAGCTATAACATCACAATTCAGCCTGTTGCACAACCACTCATATCATGGCCAGGAGCGGACTGACCATTTGGAAACTGCCCGAGGGCCCGGGGTCAGTAGGGGCCCCATGAGATGCCCGTGGTACCTTTTTCATAGGCTTTTTTGAGTTTGGGCAAGGACACAGGGGCCCCATGATCCCCTATTGCCCGGCGGCCCCAAGAGTTGTCAGTCCACCCCTGATCATGGCTAATTAAAATTCACAATCTACCTCCTTCACAAGATGTTACCTGAAATGGCATATTTCTCTCCTATCCTTCTTCAAGCCAATCCACCACTTGATAAAAAAAAGTTTATAATAACTAGCCTAGTGAGGTGTATTTATGCTGAAGTTATTTAAGCAAACCAGAAATCTAGTTCCTGGCTACGAATTATTAGTTTCACCTGTTTTGGTATTTTCGAAGTCAATTAGACATTTAATCTATCTGTGAGAACATCATGATCCAGCTATATTGTCAGAATAAAGAACAATGTTTATATCATAGAGTAGGACAAGTGTCAAATATCAAAGAGACACTTGTAGCATGTTTAGAGATAAGCAAATATTTAAGGCACCAAAGCAGGGTAGGATGATTATTCAAGCAATCAGCTCGGTAAGTCGGGAAATTGAGGAAGTGCCCCCCCTGAACCATATTCAATCATGGAGGGTGCTTTGGGTAGGGGTTCCCCCCCAAAGCATCCTTGTCACCCATCACAAGGGCCTCTTCCGTGAACAACTTGGCCAAGTGTGTGGGGGTCTGTGGGTTGGGGGATTATCGGAATTGGGATCTTCGCCTCCTTTAACAAGGGAGCCCCCAGATCCCAGCACCCCTATGTGAATGAGCCATAGGGTACATGGTCACATTGCTTACTCATTCACAAAAAAATGACAGAAGCAGTCTTTGACAATTCTTTTATTAAAAATTAAATAAACAAAATGTCCCCCGAAGTAGATCTCAACATTAATCACGGCCCGCCACCGACTGGCCGACCCGAAAAAGGAAAAAAAAAAACACACTCTGTTCTCGAAACTGGCTTCCGCCATCTGACAACTGCACTGGTCTAACATTTCTTAAATGGACTTGGAGGGCGGGGCCACCCAGTATTGTCAAACTGGTGTGTGACCGGACTGCACCCCCTTTGGCATCATATGCGCTGTGCTTTGGCAAATCACAATGGTAACTTGTCAGGGTGAAGCTTCCCATTGTGCGGTGCGGGGGGCAAAACAGCCCCTGCATGAATGACCCTTCCACCATTCGTGTTCACGATACATGGATGGCCAATGGAATCGAACATTCTTTGACTTGAACATAAAGCCAATCTTCAGTTCAGGCTGAACAGAAAAAATCCCTCCTCCATCCATGCTACACTCATTGAATGGGACAAATCTGATGCTAAGTGGCTGTTGTTAATGCATCAACCTGCACCATCAGATGTCACAATATCCAAAGTCTTTGGGTGCAGTGCTGTTCAGCCACAATTTCCTGGCATCTGCAGTCGACTTCTTATTTTTAAGTTGGAGGATGTTGGGAGAGAGACAAACAAAGCCACTCATTGAAAGCAGTGTGTTCGTTCTATTAAAAAAAAAAAAAAAAAAAAACATCTGAAATTCACACAGTGTAACCACTTTAATCTGACTTAGGTTTTCTCAGTTCCCATGCAGTCTAAATGAACCACGGAATGGATGACTTTGTCATAGTTTTTGCTTCATTTGTAACTGAAAACATACAGCTCGACAAAAACTATGACAAAAATTCTTTCTCGATGAAGGTAGCACTGGTTCAACAGTTGCCCTTGCCTTGTATTTCGCTTGAATCAGCTACCATTTAGCCCCAGTTCTTGGTATGTGTGTCATCTTTCAATTTCTATATAGCCTTGTCTATTACCCTTGACTGTAGGTATCATGGGAACAGGATGGGGTCTGCTAATCCCTCTTCTCTGGGGTAAACTGGGGATCCTGAGGACCACCTCTTTGACTAAAGTTATGCTGTTTTTAACCAGAACCTTATTAAAGTGTTCTAGAAGGACCCTGACTATATCTGGTCTCCCACATACATTTTAGAAGCATGAAATGCATTATTTGGTAAACTGCTTATCATCAGTAGTATATAGCAGCCTTTGATTGCGGCCGGTGTAAACATGCACAGGTGTTTTCATTTTGCTCTGATGGAAAGCACCTGTATGAACCTCTGTTCTTCAGAGTGGTATAGTCTTGTAAGGGGTTGAATAATTGTGGCAATGAAGAAACCACATAAGAAACATTTACTACTGTATTACATAAACAATTGATGTCATTTTAGTTGCTTTGGGTAGTTACAACGTCCTTGTAGATTTGATTCTGAATACAATTCAAATGTACACTATAGTCCCTAAACCCCTTTACAGCATTGGGGGTTGAATAATTTTGGCCACAACTGTAGTTCCTGGCTACGAATTATAGTTTCACCTGTTTTAGGTATTTTCGAAGTCAAATTAGGATATTTAATCTATCTGTGAGAACATCATGATCCAGCTATAATTGTCAGAATAAAGAACAATGTTTATATCAGGTAGAGTAGGACAAGTGTCAAATATCAAAGAGACACTTGTAGCATGTTTTAGAGGATAAGCAAATATTTAAGGCACCAAAGCAGGGGTAGGATGGATTATTCAAGCAATCAGCTCGGTAAGTCGGGAAAGGGGGGGGTTGAGGAAGTGCCCCCCCTGAACCATATCAACATGGAGGGTGCTTTGGGGCAGGGGTTCCCCCCCCAAAGCACCTTGTCCCCATCACAAGGGCCTCTTCCCAACAACTGTGGCCGGTGGTTGTGGGGTCTGTGGGTTGGGGGATTATCGGAATTGGGAAGCCTCCTTTAACAAGGGAGCCCCCAGATCCCAGCCTCACCCCTATGTGAATGAGCATAGGGTACATGGTAACTGCTACTCATTCACAAAAAAATGACAGAAGACAGTCTTTGAAAATTCTTTTATTAAAAATTAAATAAACAAAATGTCCCCCGAAGTAGATCCAACATTAATCACGATGCCCGCCACCACTGCCGACCCGAAAAAGGAAAAAAAAACACACTCTGTTCTCGAAGCTGGCTTCCGCCATCTGACAGCTGCACTGGTCTAACATTTCTTAAATATTTAAGCGGCGGGGCCACCAGTATTGTCAACTGGGTGACCCCACCCCCTTGTGGCATCATCATGCGCTGTGCTTTGGCAAATCACAATGAACTGTCAGGGTGTAGTGCATTTGTGCGGTGCGGGGGGCGAACAGCCTGCTGAATGCCCTTACCATTCGTGTTCACCGATACATGGATGGCCAATGTTCGAATCGAACATATCTTTGACTTGAAACATAAAGCCCAACTCTTCAGTTCAGGCTGAACAGAAAAATCCACCAGATTCCCCCATCCATGCTACACTCATTGAATGGACAAATCTGATGCAGTGGCTGTGTAATGCATCAACCTGCACCATCAGATGTCACAATACTCCAACAGTCTGATTGGATGCAGCTGCTGTTCAGCCAACAATTTCCTGTCTGGCTCCTTCAATTTTTAAGTTGGAGGATGTTGGGAGAGAGAGACAACAAAGCCACTCATTGAAAGCAGTTTGTTCAGTTCTTTAAAAAAAAAAAAACACAGCTGACAAAAACTATGACAAAAATATTTTCCTCGATGAAATTAACACTGGTTCACAGTTTTCTTGCTTTCTTGTATTTCGCTTGTCAGCCTACCATTTAGCCCCAGTTCTTATTGTGTGTCACTTCTCAATTTTATTCCTTGTCTATTACCCTTGACTGTAGGTATCATGGGAACAGGTGGGGTCTGCTAATCCATAAGCCCTGGGGTAACTGGATAATGAGGACCACCAGTTCTTTGACTAAAGTTATGCTGTTTTATACAGAAGAACCTTATTAAAGTGTTACTAAACCAGGACCCTGCATATACTATATCTGGTCTCCCACAATACATAGAACATGGAAATGCAATTATTTTAGTAAAACTGCTAAATACCTTTTTCATCAGTAGTATATAGCAGCCTTCTATCAGCGGCCGAGCACTGGTAAAGCTTGCAGGAGGAGTTTTCATTTTGCTCTGACTGTCCTATGAGTCTGCATAACCCCTGACCTTCTGTCCAGACAGTGAAGATTGTTACTGTGCCAATCACATGCACCCTATGCCCCCCCCCCAAAAAAAAAACCTCCCTAGCAATACACACCAAACTGAGCATGTGCCTCCTAGAGCTCTGTACTATCAGCAGCTGAATTTGAAACTATGGAAGAAAGGGAGGATCAGAGAAGTCAGGATCAAACAAAATGTTTTCACCATGCAGAGGGTTAACCCCTTAGGTTCCACAGTGACTAAAATTAAGCATGCTTTTCTGCATATACAGACTGATTTTACTGTTGTGGGTTTAGTAACACTTTAAGGCCTATCAAGGACTAGTTTTTTGTCTATGACTGTGTATCAGGCCTATCCATTATGTGTCTTTGAGTGGCTTACTTCTTGGTGTTAATTACTGACATACATTTCTCTCTCTAAACTATGATTTGACTTATTTCCTGCTCTGTGTTTTTTTGTTTGTTTGCTTCTTTTGTTTAAGTGTAGCTTATAGACTTGGAGATGTATTACATTTATTTGATCAGTGAACCTAGTTCCATCTCTTGGAGACCATAAAACTACTTGTGGTGATCAAGCATCTCCACAGAGCAAGATACAATGTTGTACAGCAGTTCCCGGTAAAGATATTTTCCTTTTATTTTTCTTTCTTTCCTCTTTTCTTCCCCCATTTCTATCTTCTGACTATTTTTCGCTTTCGCTCTAGAGGCCCAAACCTGGATGGATGGGTTAATGTGTTCCAATCACCTCCATGGCCACAAGTGTATAAAATCAAGCACCTAGGCATGCAGACTGCTTCTACAAACATTTGTGAAAGAATGGGTTGCTCTCAGGAGCTCAGTGAATTCAATCGTAGTACCGTGATAGGTTGCCACCTGTGCAATAAGTCCATCCATGACATTTTGTTGCTACTAAAAATTCCACGGTCAACTGTTAGAGGTATTATAACAAAGTGGAAGCAACTGGGAACAACAGCAACTCAGCCACAAAGTGGTAGGCCACATAAAATGACAGAGCTGGATCAGCTAATGCTGAAGCGCATAGTGTGCAGAAGTCGCCAACTGTCTGCAGAGTCAATAGCTAAAGATCTCCTTCATGTGGCCTTCAGATTAGCACAACAACAGTGTGTAGAGAGCTTCATGGAACGGGTTTCCATGGCTGAGCAGCTGCATCCAAGCCTTATATCACCAAGTGCAATGCAAAGCGTCAGATGCCGTGGTATAAACCACGTTGCCACTGGACTCCAGAGCAGTGGAGATGTGTTCTCTGGAGTGTCAAATCAAGCTTCTCTGTCTGGCAATCCGATGGACATGTCTGAGTTTGGCGGTTTCCAGGAGAATGGTACTTGCCTGACTGCATTGTGCCAAATGTAAAGTTAGGTGGAGGGGGGCTTATGGTGTGGAGTTGTTTTCAAGAGTTGGGCTTGGCCCCTTAGTTCCAGTGAAGGGAACTCTTAAGACATCAGCATACCAAGACATTTTGGACAATTTCACTCTCCCAACTTTGTGGGAACAGTTTGGGGATGGTCCCTTCCTGTTTCAACATGACTGCACACCAGTGCACAAACCAAGGTCCATAAAGACATGGACGAGCGAGTTTGGGGTGGAAGAACTTGACTGGCCTGCACAAAGTCCTGACCTCAACCTGTTAGAACTACTTTGGGATGATTTAGAGCAGAGACTGCGAGCCAGTCCTTCTCATCTGACATCAGTGCCTGACCTCACAAATGCGCTTCTGGAAGAATGGTCTTACATTCCCATAGACACACTCCTAAACCTTGTGAACAGCCTTCCCAGAAGAGTTGAAACTGTTATAGCTACAAAGGGTGGGCCAACTCAATATTGAACCCTGTGGACTAAGACTGGGATACCATTAAAGTTCATGTGCTTGTGAAGTCAGGCATCCCAATACTTTTGGCAACATAGTGTATTTTGCTAAAGAACTTGTGTACATGGTATCCCCTTTTCATATTCACACAATATATGATGAAGGGTCTCAGCACGTTATTAGAAGGGCAGGTGTCTCCTGCCAATTCATCTTGGGGGACCCCCTGTACAAATAATGCAATTTAGCCAATGTACAGTACATTCAGGTAGTCGTACCTGCACTGTTAAAAAGGGTTGTTGGTGCCAGCTTCACTGCCAACATCCAGTCAAGAAATCTGGTCCTCTAAAATATCTACTGCAACCCACGAAAGTAGGCACACACACTTGTAAAAAAATACCAATGATTTCTTTTGGCATCACCTATAGTAAAGAAATGTACCACCAGAAATTCATGTCCTACAGAGAAAAAAACTAGTAAAGATTATTTAAGATTTATTCATAGTACTCAGAATATTAGTCCATAAAAGTGAATCAAACAATTTCTCCCCCAGATATAGAGACCTGGATGCTAGAGCTCGATAGAATTTTTCATTTGAAAAAATAACTATTATTTAAAATAACCCCTCAGAGAATTCCCAGTAAGCGTCATCAAATATCGGATAGATGATTTGATTTTAGATCTCCTTCAATGACATTCAGTATTTAACTGGCTGACTACAGCTATACTACTGGTCAAATGGACACCAGTAGTAAACAATTACTTTTGCCTATGCCTACGTACTGTATATAACACCTACTTATGAGCAGACTGTACTTTTAGCTCTATGTAACCTGATTCTGTTTCTTTTTTTTTTTATCTCATGTATCCATTTATTTTGGATACTTGACTCACTTCCATGCTGAAACAAATTTTGTGACCTAAATGTTTGTCCTTTTTACTGTTTTGTAAAACTGTAAAACTCAATAAAAAATATTTTAGCAAAAAACCTTGATGAGCCAAGTTTAGCCTGAAGCTGGAGAAAAAGGTCATGTTTCTCATGATAATAAAGAAAGTGGGGAAATCCTATTCTCTTCTTAGTGGTAGCAAAAGGTAGATGTCCACATTCTTTATAGCCAATCAAAATGGTCCATACTTTGCAACTTGCAGGCCAAAAGAGGCTGTTGTTTTGTCTTGTGTATCATTGTAATATATACAAAAGTAAATTTGCTTGGATCATATTGTGTTCAGAACACAAAAGGAAAGTTTTGCTTTGCAATTTTAGTACTTTAAGTCTTAACGTAATCTACTTACTTATTCAATAATGACACCATCTGGCAGTATTTTTGCAAAGGCATGAAAAATCAAAATACCCGCCAGAAAAGTCTCTGAGAAATTAGTTAATTAGGGAAATCTTGATATGACATGCACAGCTTCCTCCACTCCTTGCCTGTGGCAACATACACACATCATTATATTAATGGTTAATTCCTCATGTTCATTCTCCACTGGCTTCCCGATGATAAGAAATCTGTAATGTATTTATACTTTATTGGATGCATTATTGCATAAAATCATTATTTTTACATTCCCTTTATTTTTACTGTTGAATCTTTTATAATGTCCATATTCTGTATTGCAGTTGTATTTATATTCAAAGGTGCACAACTTACAGGGAACAAAATAACTGTTTTTGGTGAAGCATAATTCTACAAATTATTTGTACTTAATTTGTCTTATACAATGTGAATGACAGAATAATTTTAATCATTAGTAATTGCATTGTACAAACCCACACCTATTTTTGCTATTTTTAAGGTACCAATGTAAGTATTAAACAACATCACTTGAGCTTTAAGTTATAGGTGATTATGTTCAGTTTAGTCACCCAATGGCCTGTTAAGAAGATCCCAAAAACTCTCTTCCACTCTCCACCCATCTGGACATTCTTGTTTGAAGTTTTTGTTTACGGTATATTTAAACCCAACCACATTCAGGAGCAGTAGTAGGCTAATGAGCTTATTATTTTGCTCACTTTGATTTCTTCTCCTGTGAGCATGTTCTTTATCAACACTTGTGCATTCAGCTCATCTGATTGGCCCTATGTACAGTCCCTCCTTCTCCCAGTCTGTTCTCTGTTCTACAGGGATTATAAAGATGATACCAAGTCAAATTCAAGTAATCACATACATACATAAGTATGCGCATGAAAAACATGCAAAAAGACTATCAGTGCACAACATAACACATCAAAACAGTCCAAGCATAAAGATGGTATATTCCACTGGGTAATCAACAATCAGGTGAAAACAGGAACAGACACTGTAACTTTACTGCTTCTCCTATAAAGGTAAGGGATGTCTTCAAAGAAAAGAAAGAAAAGTAAACAAAAAAGGTCAGCAATATGAAACTTTAATCAGTAATACATTTTAAAAATGGCAACTTATATACATATGTAGGGCAGAGCGCATAAAATAATCACATATGTGCAAGTCACACTGCTTCTCATGCAACCTGATGTTTAGCTCAACACAAAGACCATTACACCCTGTCTAATAATTCACATTGAAATCAAAGGGTTTAGTTGCACATATTTGCACATATATGTGAAAGCTACAGCGCCTCTCCAAGGCTCCTCTGTATAATGCAGTCCTAACTCTAAAATTTTGAGAGTCTCCAAGTTGGAGCACATATAGCTACGGATAAATGAAGAGCAGTTTTGCCAGGATTGAGCTCAGAATTTCAGCTCAGCAAGCAATATACGTTGCCTGTCACTTGAGCATTGGCTTGCCCCCTTGGGGCCCATAGCTCTCTGCTTCTGTGACTGCAGTGTCCACCGGACACAGCGGATTTCTGCTACCAGTACTGGGCAGCTTTGGGTGGCGGGGTGTCACATGGTCCCTATGTGATCACAGGATCACAAGGTGCACAAAACTGTTAAGAATCGCTTTCATTTCATTCAGTGCTTACTCATCACTGTAACAGCAATCACAGTGTAAATAAAATATGTACTTATTGTGATTTTTTTTTTCCAAAAACATGTAGAAGAATACATTTTGTCCTAAATGTATGAATAGAAATTTTATTTTATTGGATATGTTTTATAACAATAGTAGAAAATATTGTTTTTTTTTTCAAAATATTTGGTCTCTTTTTTTTTTATATAGCAAAAAATAAAAAATCTAGTGGTGATCAGATACCACCAAACAAAGCTCTATTTGTGTGAAAAAATATTATAACTTTAATTTGTTAGTCAGTATTGCATGATCAAGCAACTGACAGTTAAAATAGCACAGTGTTGAATAGCAAAACATGTCTTGATCATGAAGGGGGTAAAACCTTCTGGAGGTCAATTTGTTAAAAAAAGGCACTTTAGCATAAAAAAACTCCCATATTGAACAAAAAATTAATCCCCAGGTACAAATTTCGATAATTGCATTCATTGCACGCTACATATAATAAAAACAGGTACTGTTATAGGAATAAATGTACTTATAGCTCCTCAGTGAGTCCTTTAGGGGCCAAGGTGTTGAGATTATATATTAAAAGTCTCCCTGTGAAAACTATTCACTAGGGAGGCACATTTTGGAATGGCTTTGATGACCCAAACAGAAAGGCCTTTAGTGGACTTATAATGCTTTAGGGCAAAATGCCTGGTCCATATCCTCATCCTTAATAAGCATTCTATGCTCCCCAAACCTCCTTTTACATTTTAAAATGTTTTACAATTATTGATTTCCACAGCAATTATTGTATTGATTGTATTATTTTTTTAATTCAATATTATTATTATTATTGATGATGTTATGTACTGTATGTTGTTATCCACTATTATTATTATTATTATACAGGACTTATATAGCATCAACAGTTTGCTCAGCGCTTTACATTATGGAGGGAGACAGTACAGTAACAATACAGTTCAATACAAGAGAGATTAGAGGGCCCTGCTCCTTGGAGCTTACAATCTAGGAGGGAGGGGATAGTGGTACAAGAGGTAATTAGCTGTGGGGGATGGAGTGGTAGGAGGAGTAGTGGATTTCAGTATTAGCTGGGGACGGGGTAGGCTTCCCTGAAGAGATAGGTTTTCAAAGTGCGCCTAAAGGTGAGCAGAGTAGGCGATAGCCTGATAGCTTGGGGTAGGGAGTTCCAGAGGACGGGTGAAGCCCTTGAGAAATCCTGGAGATGAGCATGGGAGGAGGAGACATGGGAGCTAGAGAGTAGGAGGTCTTAATTTTAATTTATTTATATATTAATTAAGTGTTCTTGCATGGCAAGACCACTTACTGTTATCTCACATATATATTCTTATTATTATGGCCAAATTTACCACCCTAACTCCTCCCACAGTTTTTACACTACATAGACAGTAATATACCGAAACGTGTGGATTGTTCCCGATTGGTGTGCTATTACTTTGTGAAACTTTTTGCAAATGGTTCAC